GATGACCCGTTCTTTCCACTGGGATCTCACTCGTGGAGATCTTTCATTTAGTTTTTTTTTTTTTTTCCCAGAGTGTCTTGGCTTTCCATGCCTGAAATACTCTCATGGGCTTTTCAGCCGGATCCGCATGCCTTAAGGGCTGATTCTGAGGCCAGAGTGCTCTTTAGGACATCTGCCATTCTATGGGTCTGCTGTGTATCTCACTTCCCCTGGATGGGATTGATATTAGAAGTTCTCTCAGTCATGGCATTTACTGTGTATACAAAGGCTGTTGATTTTTGTATATTTACTTTATATCCTGCTACTTTACCAAACTCTTCTATGAGTTCCAATAGTCTCTTAGTTTAGTCTTTTGGATCCCCTATATATAGAATCATGTCATCTGCAAATAGGGATAGTTTGACTTCCTCCTTCTCAATTTGTATTCCTTTGATTTCATTTTTCTTGTCTAATGGCTCTGGCTAAAACATCCAGGACTATATTGAATAGCAATGGTGACAGTGGGCATCTTTATCTGGTTCTAGATCTCAATGGGAATGCTTCCAACTTTTCCCCATTCAATAGGATGCTGATTGTGGGTTTGTCATAAATTGCCTTGATTGTGTTGAGAAATGCTCCTTCTATAACATATTTGCTTAGAGTTTTCATCATGAAAGGGTATTGCATTTTATCAAATGCTTTCTCTGCATCTAGTGAGATAATCATATGATTTTTGTTCAGCAGTTTATAATGTGATGTATCATATTGATTGATTTTTTAAATTTATTTGACAGGTAGAGTTATAGACAGTGAGAGAGAGAGAGAGAAAGGACTTCCCTCCATTGGTTCACTTCCCAAATGGCCACTATGGCTGGCGCTGTGCCGATTAGAAGCCAGGAGCCAGGTGCTTCTTCCTGGTCTCCCATGCGGTGGCAGGGGCCTAAACACTTGGGCCATCCTCCACTGCCCTCCCGGGCGACAGTAGAGAGTTGGACTGGAAGAGGAGCAACCGGGACTAGAACCTGGTGCCCATATGGGATGTCGGTGCTGCAGGCAGAGGATTAACCAAGTGAGCCACAATGCCGGTCCCACAGTGATTTTGTGTCTATGTTCATCAGGGCAATTGATCTGTAGTTCTTTTTCTCAGGTTTAGGAATTAAGGTGATGCTGGCTTCATAGAAAGAATTTGGGAGGTTTTCTGTGTTTTCATGGCTCAATTTAAGTAGGGTATATGTGTTCAGAAATCTCTCCATTTCTTCTAGGTTCTCCTGATTGTTGGCATATAGTAATTTCTGATGAGTCTTTTTATTTATGTGGTGTCTGTCATTACATTTCCTTTTTCATCTGCTTTTATTTATTTGGGTATTCTCCCTCTATTTTTTTTTGATTAGTTGCACTGATGGTATATTGATTTTGTTTACTTTTTCATAAAACCAGATTTTTATTTCACTGATTTTTGTATTTTTTGCTTTAAATCTTGTTTATTCTTCTCTCTGTTTAATTATTTTTCCTCCTACTAGTTTTGGGTTTGGTTTGTTGTTGATCTTCTAGATCCTTGAGATATCTTGATAACTCATTTCTTTGGTACCTTTCAAGTTTCTTCATGTAGGTCCTTACTTCTATGAACTTCTCTCTTAACACTAATTTTGCTGTATTCCATAGAATTTGTTCTGATTTACTGTCAAATTCATTTGTTTCCAGAAATTTTTTGATTTTTATTTTGATTTCTTCTTTGATGCATTGTTCATTCAGGAGCATATTGTTCAGGCTCCATGTGTTATGTATGTTCTAGAAATTTTTGAGTTGTTAATTTCTAGCTTTAATACCATTGTGGTTTGAGAAGGTGCATGGAATGATTTCAATCTTTTGAATTTGTTGAGTCTTGCTTTGTGGCCTACCATATGATCTATCTTAGAAAAAGTTCCATGCACTGATGAGAAGAATCTGTATTCTGGCACTGTGGATGAAAGTTTCTGCAGATATCCGTCAGGTCCGTTTGGTCTAGAGTGTCAATTAACTCTTATTTCCTTGCTGAATTTTTATCTGGTTTATCTGTCCATTGCTGAAAGTGGGGTATTAAAGTCCCTCATTACTGTTGCATTAGAATCTATGTCTCCCTTTATGTCTATTAACATTTTTTTAAGTAGCCAGGTGCCCTGTAATTGGGTACATACATGTTTATTATAGTCACATCTTCCTGTTGGATTGATCCTTTAATCATTACATAGTGTCCTTCATCTCAACAGTTTTTGTGTTAAAATCTATTTTGTCTGATATTAGGATGGCAACACCAGCCCCTTTTTTTGCTTATGTTAGCATGGACTATCTTTTTCCAATCTTTTCCTTTCACTGCGTATTTTTGTTAGTGAGATGTGTTTCTTGTAAGCAGCAAATAGATGGGTCTTGTTTTTTAATCCAATCAGCCAATATGTATCTTTTTTAAAAAAAGATTTATTTCTTTATTTGAAAGACAGAATTATAGAGAGGCAGAAGCAGAGAGAGAGAGAGAGAGAGAGAGAGAGAGAGGTCTTCCATCTGTTGGTTCACTCCCCAGATGACCCCAACAGCTGGAACTGTGCTGATCTGAAGCCAGGAGCCAGTAGCTTCTTCCAGATCTCCCACATGGGTGCAAGGGTCCAAGGACTTAGGCCATCTTCTTCTGGTTTCCCAGGGCACAGCAGAAAGCTGGATTGGAAGTGGAGCAGCCAGGACTTGGGTTGACACCCATATGAGATGCTGGCACTACAAGTGGCAGTCTTACCTTCTACGCCACACCTCTGGCTCCCAATATGTATCTTTTAACTGAAGAATTGAGGCCATTTACATTCAAGGTCACTATTGATAAGTAACGACTTGACCCTGCCATTTTTAAAATCATTATTCCTCTTGTTTACTTTAGGTTTCTTTTGTACTTCTACTACTGGTGGTTTTTATGTCTTCTCATTCATAATGGTGGCTATCTCTCTGTGTTTCTGTGTGTAGCACATCTTTAAACGTATTTTATAGAGCTGGGCGAATGTCAACAAATTTTTTCAATTTCTGTTTGTTATGGAAGCTGTTTATTTCACCTTAATCTATAAATGTAAGCTTTGCAGGGTACAGTATTTGGTGTTGACAGTTTTTTTCTTGTAAGACTTGGATTATATCTTGCCATCCCTTTTTAACCTGTAGGATTTCTCACAAGAAGTCAGCTATGAGTCTAATTGGTGATCCTCTGAAAGTAGGGTGGTGTTTTTCTCGTGCCCATTTTAGAATCTTTTCTTTATGTTTTATTGTGGATAGTTTGACTGTAATATGTCCTGGTGAAGATCTTTTCTGGTCATGTCTGTTAGGAATTCTAGGTGCTTCCTCTATTTGATCATTCCTTTCTTTCTCCAAATTGAGGAAGATTTCTGTAATTATTTCACTAAATAGGCTTTGTATTCTTTTCTCTCCTTCCACTCCCTCAGGCACTCCTAAGACCTGTATGTTTGGCCATTTGATAGTATCCCATAAGTCTCCTACACGGTTTTTAGGTTTTCTATTTTCTTGTTTTTTTTGTTTGTTTGTTTGACTGTGGGATTTCCAAAGATTTATCTTCTAGTTTGGATATTCTTTCTTCTGCTTCATCAAGTCTGCAGTTAAGACTTTCCACTGCACTTTTTATTTGATCCATTGAATTCCTCATTTTTATTTTACAGGCAGAGTTAGACAGTGAGAGAGAGAGAGAGACAGAGAGAAAGATCTTCCTTTTCCATTGGTTTACCCCCCAAATGGCTGCCATGGCCTGTGCGCTGCGCCGATCCAAAGCCAGGAGCCAGGTGCTTCCTCCTGGTCTCCCATGCAGGTACAGGGCCCAAGCACTTGGGCCATCCTCCACTGCCTTCCCGGGCCACAGCAGAGAGCTGGACTGGAAGAGGAGCAACTGGGACAGAATCTGGCGCCTCAACCGGGACAAGAACCTGGGGTACTGGCACCGCAGGCAGAGGATTAGTCTAGTGAGCCGTGGTACCGGTCAAATTCCTAATTTTTAAATGATTTCTCTTTATATTCTTGATTTCCTGGGAAAAAATTTCATTCTTGTCTTGTATAGTTTAGTTCATGGATTTGCTTCTGATTTTTTTTTTTAGTAATCCTATCATTAATTTCCAAATTCCATTTCTGGCATTTCCTCAGTCTCTTCATCTTCACATTCCAATATTGAAATATTGTTGTGTTCCGCTGGGGAGGGTTCATTGTGAATTCCTTATTCTTGTTATTTGAATCTTGGTTCTTATTTTTCAGCATTTCTGGAGTTGATTTTAATTTTTCCTTCAGTTGACTTTTATTTTGGGGTCTGTGTTTCTTTGGCTTTGTGGAATGTCTGTCCTTCAGTGAATACCAGGAGATGTATTGTGGGTGTGCCCTGAGGGCTCTGGTCAGTGCATTAGGGTGGGGTGAGTTTCCAGGGTAGCTATTCCCAGCTATGTCCTGCAGTATTTCATGTAGACACCTAGGCCCCAAGGTCTCAGCAACTAAGGTTCTCCCAGACACTGCTGGTGCAGTTGCCACTCTGTTTCTGGTAGTTGCCCAACCACTTCCTGGTCTATGTCTTGAGACAATCGGGGTTGTGGGCTGTTCCCTCCATTCCTAGCTCTGGATCACATGCTGCAGTCACCGACTTAATGCCGGCCCACTGAGGTTGCCGACACTGTGTTCAGGTGCCCCCTCTCAGTGGGCTCTTGTGTACACACTTGCAGGCTTCCCTGGTTGATTTAAAATGGTGTCTACCCTTTCTCAGCCCGGTCCTGGGACTGGACAGCAAAAAAAAAATAATAATTTGGTTTAAAAATGGACACAAGGAAAATTCTAATAGCAGATTAGAGAGCAGCATGCTTCACAAGGCTAGGGAAAAACAGCGAAGAGAAGCATAGGAGGTACATACTCGACGGAGATTAGAAAAGATAACCACCCAGGGAAGCCCCACAGGAGGAGGGGAACCAGCTTGAAGCACTGTGGAGAGTGTTGGCGTGCACCCAAAGGGCTTGGAAAACCAGAGCCACAGACATCCAGAGCCTGCAGCATTTTAGAGACAGGGTTGGGGACGTGGGCAGCAGGACAGATGGCAGCAACCCTGGGTATAGAACCAGCCAGAGTGTAGCATAGGTCTGGTCAAGAACCTGGGGAGCAGGCAGTTGCTGGCAGTTGCTTGAGGTCCAAGTGGAAGTGGAAAGAGGCAGCCAATTGAAACCAATCTCTCCAAAACAAAACCCAAAAAATAAATTTTGGATATTAGCCATTTATCAGATCTATGGTTTGCAAATATTTTCTCTCATTTTTTGATTCTTCATCTACTCTGTTCATTATTTCTTTCCTGTATAGAAGCTATTTAGTTTGATTAAGCCCCCTTAGTCTATTTTCCTCTTTGTCTATGATTTCATTTCAAGGAAATCATTGCCCAGAAAAATTTCATGAACATTCTTCTCTGTTTTTTTCTAGTGGCTTTATATAAGGGATCTTCATAAAGTTACTGAAAAATATATGATAAAAATTATAGGTGGATTTCAAATTTTTGCACAAAAATAAACACATCCTATCTTTTTATAATATATATGAAAAGGATCTATTTAGAGGCAATAAGAAAGATAGAGCATCAGTTTGGAAAGAGCACCTATCAGAGTGAGATTAATTTTGCTAAAATTGTGGAAAGAACAAACATGAAATTTATGTTGATGTTGGGGTATAATAATGCTGAAATCATGGATTCTCTTGAAGATTTATTTGTATGAAAGGTTGTGTGCAAGAGAAAGAGAATGAGAGTGAGAGTGAGAGAGATTTTCTATCTGTTGATTGACTCTCCAAATGACCTCAATATTCCAGGTCTGATCCAGACTGAAACCAGGAGCCAAGAACTCCATGTTAGATTCCACATTGGTAGAAGAGGCCCAACTATATGGGGTATCTTCCACTGCCTTCCCAGGCACATCATCAGGAAGCTAGATCAGAAGATAAGCAGCTGTGCACTAGAATAGGCACTCTGACTGGGTTGCCACCATTTCAAGCTGTGGCTTAACCTGTTGTGGCCCTCAGGTTTTTGTATTCTTTTATCACCAGTCATTGGATGTGAGCTGCACTTAAAAGGAATAGTAAACTTGAATGCAAGGCAATAGTAAACTTGCCGCAAGGTGGAGGATTAGCCTATTGAGCCATGGCACCGGCCCAAGATTGTTTTGTAAGAATGAGAAGTCTGAGCAGTATGAGATTCCCTAGCACACTGGAAACTGAAGTTTCCTAGCATAGCCATTCACATGTACAGGTTTAGGGGTGATGACCAACACTGGACAGATATGGGCGGGGCAGTGCTGTTGCCTCCTCTGCCTCTCTTCCATCCACCCCCCAGCCCCACCTTGTGAACTTTAGCTCAGTGTGCCTCCTGCCAATTAGAATGCTAAACTTGCCTTTGTCCAGCTGTGCCTCTGAATCCTTTGGGGCTTACCGGTTAGTAATAACATCCTGACAGCCCAGGCATCTTACAGTCACCATCTCTGCTTTGGGGGTGTATCAAGATTGGATTTCCTTTTCAGGGTAATGATGACAGAACCTGTGGTGAGATGCTGCACAGGATTTCAGGTGTGGAAAATGTGCTCTGGTTTAGGGTTTATGACTGGAGGAATACTGTTGACACCTGACTTCTGCCTTTCCTACAGCCTTTATAGGGATTATTTCTTGACTTGGATAGTTTGGCTCTGAGTCTTCCACTAAGTCTGGTCTGACAACATTTAGGAATCTTAAGTTTATTTCTCCCTGTCAGAGTAAATTTTTTTCTTGAGATCTTACCTGGGTGCTATCAGGGAGAGAAAATAACCTAGATTGAGGTAGATTAGGGGATAATAAATTGCTGCAACCTAACTGGTGAGTTTGCAGATACCTATTAATCTCCTTAAACTTTCATGGTCAACGTGAGGCATTTACAAAGACATTCATCATAGTCATACTATGGAATCCTCATGATCACATTCATTGCATGGGGGCACAGCTGATTTAGCTCCTTTGTCCAGGTCTTTCCAGAGCTAGTACTTGTGTTAACTACCTTGACTGCACAACTGTAGCTATACAGACCTTGAATGATGTGTTTGCTTTCCTCTCTGTTATTTAGAGACTTCTCTGTGGCCTTTCTGAATAAAAGCTGCCCTTTGTTATTGTTACCCCAAGGAGTGCAGAAGTTCATTGTGGAGGTGAACTCACTCCTCCTGGAGCTGAGTAGGGAGGGCTGTAGTTGAGCCTTTCTGAATCTGGGGATTTTCTCTTTTGCTAAGTTCTGTCTGGTTTTGCGGAGTCTCCATCTAGGCTGACTTAAGACTTTAAAAGATGCATCCTTTAGGACAGTCCAGATACCAGGAAAACAATACCTCTGTATCAGGTGTCTTTTCTTGATTATCTATGTGTCTCATATGTTGCCTGGAACTCTGCTTCTGAGTGCTTTGATTTTTGTTAACTCCCATTAGGACATTTTCACCAATCCACTATTTTGTGCCCTCCTCTAATCTCTGTCTTCTTGTCTTGTCCTTTTCCCCACTATTATGGAGTTCAGGTCATTTTTTTTTTAATGATTTATTTATTTATTTGAAGGAGTTATATATAAAGAGAAGGAGAGGCAGAGAGAGAGGTCTTTCATCCACTGGTTCACTCTCCAATTGGCCACAATGACCAGAGCTGTGCTCATCCAAAGCCAGGAGCCAGGAGCTTCTTCTGGGTCTCCCACATGGGTGCAGGCACACAAGGACTTGGGCCATCTTCTGCTGCTTTCCCAGGCCATAGCAGAGAGCTGGATTGGAAGTGGAACAGCTGGACTGGAACCGGCGCCCATATGGGATGCTGGCACTGCAGGTGGTGGCTTTACCTACTCTGCCACAGCACCGGCCCCCTGGGTCACTGTTAAGAAGGAGATTAAGGAGAGTAGGATCTGTTACAGCCCATGGAGGCTTCCTTTCTCACTAGAGGCGGTAGCAGAAGTGACTACTAGTGACCAGTGGAACCCCTCCTTTCTGACTCACTTCTAGGATTCCATCATAGGCTCTAGTAGAAGAGAGATTTAGCAGCCCTTTTCTGACATGAAATGCCCAGAATCACCTTTGAGGTGAGGAACATTGAGGCTCAGTCACTTTATTTTTCAATAGACACCCACTGGCTGCTATATCATTCTTGTCATTCAAGTTCAATCTCTTTCTCATCAAGTATTTGTGGTTCCCAATTCTTTGAAATGCTTACACATTTATTTATTTGTCCTTTACATTAGTCACATGGATACTTATTTATTCAGCCAACATTACCAAGTAACAACCAGATACCAAATAATTCTAGAGTTTGCCCTGGTACTACCATAATGAGAAAGGCATACTCCATATTATTCAAGGAATCACTCCCGACAGATTTTACAGCATGAGATAATCAGTGTCAGGACAAAGCAGTAAAGGGATTGTGATAGGGAAGAAAAGGAGAAACCTCATGCTGTCTTACAGAATTGCAGGACCATTTCACAGAGGAGATCTTGCTTGTATCAAACTCACATCAATATATAGGAATTGAATAACATCAGCTCATTGAATATTGTCATATGCTTCCTGTTCAGAGAAGTAAATACATCTTTACACTCTAGGAATAAATGTCTTCTGCTTTTCCTCTATGAATCACATGCTCAATAATCCACTCTAAGTTTTTACTCCAGGCTCACAAGCTGTGCAGTACAAAGAAAGAGGCAGGTTATACTAAAAAGTCTGTGTCTCTGCTTCAATCATTCCCCCACTGTCTTGTGGCTTCAGCTCCACTGCTCTGTGAATCTCTCATTAAATTTATTAATAAATTCCTTTAGAAAGCCAAGAATGCCTTCCATTCACACAGTAGTTCTCTGACAGCCAAAAATGAGAAAGAACTGAAATGTGTGGAAGAAAGGGAGTAGCAGAGGAAGGCAATCAATTTTCTCACCATGTGGAAGGAATGTAAAGCATGGAAAGAATTTTTTAAAGATTCTGAGATTCCCCTTGGAGATCTCAACAAAAATGTCATGTATTTTAAATTGTCTCTGGAAGAAAAACAAAGGCATGGAGATACATGCCTCTTGGAATTTCAGATTTTGTAGTTGTTACATTCAGAGCTTTGGGGTTGTATTTTAGTCCATATTAATTTATGAAAAAGACATACTGACATTCTATAGATGCCTAATCCATAGAACTGAGTCGTGCTCAACTTTTATTCATCTTTATATACCCATGTGCACACCCTCCTCAGCACAGAAAAGAACTAACATAGACTGTACCTGTATTTTAAGACAAACATCCAGACAAGTGTTTTGTTTTAAGGCTCAAGATGTGAATTACATGGAGAAGGTTAAGCAAAAGACCTACTTATTTGGTCCTTCATGTCAGAGACACTGGTTACTGAAACATCACACTGAGAGACAGGCATGAAAAGTCTGACACAGAAATGCAGTCCCAGAGACAAAAGAAGGAAAGAATATTGTGATCTCATACTCTGTCATCTTTTATTATTACTGTTAATGATAAGTATAATTTATAAAATAACCTATATATCAGAATTTTGTACACATCATTTACTATGTATTTACTATAGTGTTGATATTATTTTATCTTCCCATTACATGGGAAAATTAAGACTCATTGAGATTAAATAGTCAGCCAAGGTTTCATTCCTAGAATATGAAATGGACAATATTGGAACCCAAGTTTGTCTGCCTCTGAAGTTTGTATTTATTACACTACATGTGGATGTCCACCATGCTAGCTTGTAAGTATGAACTTTAAAGAGACGTGGCTCGTTCTTGTGAAGCAAACCATTAAAACACTGAAAAAATTCCTACAATACTGATAAACCAGAAAGTTATGGATGAACAAAGGAGAGTAACAAAAGATAGTGCTCCAGATATACTCAATATTGGCCAACACAGGCATCAAGTCCTTTCTGAAGGGCAGGAGGCAGTGGACTCTGAATTTTGAAGTAGGAGGAGGACCAATTGACATAAAGGAATAAGAAAAAAGAATATGTAAAAGGCTTAAATAAATTACAGTGGTATACTCATACAACTCCAAGAATGTCAGAATGTTTGAAGCAAAATAAACATATGGAGATATGTTAACTGTAAAACAAAACGAATGCTGAAAAAATAACCTTTGCAAACTTCTTCTGATAGTGTTAAAAGTTTTATTTTTCTGTATTTTAAATTCACTGAATGATTTTAGCAATAGGCATAACATGATGACATCTGCATTTTAGAAAAAATCCTCATTTCAGAGTAGGTTAGGGGAATAAGACAAAAGCAGAGAGATCTTTTAGCAATCTGGGTGAGAGAAACTTGTAGTGTGAACTAAGGCAGTGACATTGGGTGTTGAAAAAAATGAGCAGCTATAGGAAGGGCTAAAAATAAAGTCAACCGGAATTAATCAATAAGGATAAGAGGGACAAATGAATATAGACAGTTTACAAATTTATAGTTCATGTTGGACAGGTAGATTATAATGTAATTCATAAAAATATTGAAGAAAAGGCTATAGGACATCCTTGGGAAGGATAGATGGGTTAACTTCATTTTGAACATGATGAGTGCCTGGTGTAGATATTCAGAAAGCAAAAGCAAAATAGGTTTATATTTCAGAGAGCTATTTGACTTATGAACTTGGAAGAAATAAAAATATATAGATAGTTAAAACAAGGCAATGGATGAACTGAGTTCAAAGCTAATGTTCAAAATAGGAAAGAGAATAGGATAGAACCCAGGGATTAACAACAGGTAGTAAAATGGAGAAGACAGTGAGACTGAGGCTATAGGAGGAACAATGATAGAGTTCTAAATTAAGGAAGATTAGTTTCAAAGATAATAGTTTAATTTCTGGTGCCAGTAATGCGGATAGGGTAATTAAAAGAACCTTTCAAATGGAAAATTGCAAAATACAAGTAATTAAGTAGTAGAGGTTAGCAGCTCATGTTTATTCTGATCTCTAAACACAACTAGACTATCCTAAATCAGATCTGTGGGAGTTTCACCTGTAAGAACATTGTCTCCAGAAGAGGATACTTTTTTCCTTGTATCTAACTTTATTGCTTTATGTTGCAGTTTAAGTCTCTTTATTCTTCTCATGAAGATGGTAGCCAAATCTGGCCAATGTGATACAAAATCAAGAATGGAGAAATCATGACTTCAGTTTCTTTTCCTTCATCTCTTTCTAAGACATTGATGATGACTCTAAGCAATTCTAGTTGGAGGCTACCCCAGCCGTCTTTTTTCCTGGTAGGTATTCCAGGTTTAGAAGAAAGCCAGCACTGGATAGCATTGCCCTTGGGTGTCCTTTACTTCCTTGCGCTAGTTGGCAATGTTACCATTCTCTTCATCATCTGGACAGATTCCTCCTTGCACCAACCTATGTACCTTTTCCTGGCCATGCTAGCTGCTATTGATCTTGTCCTGGCCTCCTCCACTGCACCCAAAGCCCTTGCAGTACTCCTGGTTCATGCCCATGAGATTGGGTACATTGTCTGCCTCATTCAGATGTTCTTCATTCATGCATTCTCCTCAATGGAGTCAGGGGTACTTGTGGCCATGGCTCTGGATCGCTATGTGGCCATTTGTCATCCTCTGCACCATTCCACCATCCTGCATCCGGGGGTCATAGGGCGCATTGGAATGGCAGTGCTAGTGCGGGGATTACTTCTTCTCATTCCCTTCCCCATCCTGTTGCAGAACCTTATCTTCTGCCAGGCCACCATCATAGGCCATGCTTATTGCGAGCATATGGCTGTGGTAAAACTTGCCTGCTCAGAAACTGCAGTGAACCGAGCTTATGGGCTAGCAGTGGCACTGCTTGTGGTTGGGCTAGATGTTCTAGCCATTGGTATTTCCTATGCCCTCATACTCCAGGCAGTGCTGAAGGTACCAGGGGTTGAGGCCCGATTAAAGGCCTTTAGCACTTGTGGCTCTCATGTTTGTGTCATCCTGGTCTTCTATGTCCCTGGAATATTCTCCTTCCTCACTCACCGCTTTGGTCATCATGTTCCCCATCATGTCCATGTTCTTCTGGCCACACTCTATCTTCTTGTGCCACCTGCCCTCAATCCTGTTGTCTATGGGGTGAAGACTCATCAGATCCGCAAGCGAGTTCTCAGAGTGTTGTACACAAAATGATTGATCTTAACACACCCTGATTATGTCCTTCTGCTCTTGCCAAAGACAAAATCAGGAGCTCACAACTGGTCTAAATTATATAGAAAGAGGCCATTCTATAATGAGTATTTCTGCAAGTCCTTATAGTTTCATGACAAAAATATCCGCAAGTCCTTGGTTTCACAGCCTATTGAGATTTAGCTGGATCACTGGATTTGTGAATATTTCACCTGCTCTTTATTTTGCTCCTAATTTCAACATTTCCCTACTTCTTGTGTTAGGAGTACTTGGGGTTGGAAGAGATGGATGACAGCTCTGGACATGCCATCTTTCCTTCCTTTTCCCAGGGAATGTATGCAATATTTTCTGGAATTAGGATGAAAGCTTTCAACCTTTACCTGATTTTAGGGTTAAAGTGTCTTCAAAGCCACTGTTACTGCTGTGACTCCAGTTCACTGGGCTCATAAGGGAGTCCTTCATTACAGCTAAGAAGGCCACATGTGAGAAAATACATTTCACCATAGGAATTATGTTGCTATTTATTTAAAACAAACATAAGTGGTATAAGTCCTATAATCGGGCCTAGGATTTATAATAAGATATGATTTACATTTTCAAGGAAAGTATATATGTATCTAGTATATTTCTTCTTTAAAAACTGTTGAAATATTTACTTAGTATATACTAAATTAATCTTCTGTATATAAAAATAATTGAAAATGAATTTTGATGTGAATGGGATGGGAGAGGGAGCGGAAGATGGGATGGTTGTGGGTGGGAGGGAGGTTATGGGGGGAAAAGCTGCTATAATCCAAAAGTTGTACTTTGGAAATTTATATTTATTAAATAAAAGTTTAAAAAGTCTTCATGTAAATAAATTTATTTATTTGCTTAGGTTTAAGGAAGTATAAGGTCAACTGTTAATTTATGCGTGTTTTGTAAATATTAATTTACAAAAAAGTACCCATGTAATTGTTAGTGTCTAGCAGTTATAAAATTTCATGGTCTTGTATTGAAAAACACAGCTTTAATAAATTTAGTAAAAATGTAGAGGTAGTTATATCACTTAAAAATACCAAGTTTCTCTTTCTGAAATTGTGTGCATTAGTGGTGTCAATTCCATTTCTTCTAATAGAAACTGGATAAAAACTTCAAGAGTACTCTACAATTGTTTTGTTGCATCCTTTATGTTGCCTTAATATCTGATTTAACTCTTTTGTGTTACTAAAACGAAGCACATTTTATTCAGTCATGGGAGAAGTCAAATCACTGCTCCATGGAAGTAAGATGCTCAGGTGACAATAATGTCCTATCATGGGATTCCATATTGCAGAGTGAATGGTTGGCATTTTTACATTTTTCCCAACTCCTAATAAATAGATTCTTTCAGTGACACTGAGTATTATGTCCATGGTTTCCTTGGCACTTGTGGATGAATTAATGGGGGAGGGGCTTGAATTTTTCTATTTCAGGCTGAATTATACATTTGAATCAGTTTGGTTCTAGATCTTTGGTCTAAAATCTAGAATGTTGTCTTTGAGAAGGCAAAGCCATATTGTACCATATCAGTTGGAAACCAATTTTCTTGACCCTGGAGGTACTTTGTTTCAGTAGGCTATCAAATAAAGCAGTCTGCAATCTTTCTCTTTATTTCACTTGTGGATACTTAGCATGTGGCTATGATATTGGATATGGAGCAGCTGTCTTGGATCACAAAATAGAAATGTGAGTTGAAAGTGACAGGTGACAACTAACTGAGCACCAAAAAGGAAACCTGTTAAAGTGAAATGAACACTATGAGAAATGGTGACTTGATCAGCCCTCGCCCTGATTGTTGATGAACAACTTAATATGTTATCCCTCTTAGTATTTTTTTTGTTTGTTCTACTTAATACTTTTGGTTGAATACTGTAATCAATACACAATTATTCTTAAGTGCTGAAACTTAACTGAAAAGTGATCGCTGTTAAATATAAGAGTGGGAATAAGAGAGGGAAGAGATGTGCAATTCAGGATATGCTCAAGCTGACTTACCTTAAACGGTAGAGTTAGAAACATACCAGGGGATTCCAATTCAGTCCCATCAAGGTGGCATGTACCAATGCCATCTCACTAGTCCCAGTGATCAATTTCTGTTCACAATTGATCATAATGATAGGACTAAGAACCAAAGGATCACAGAAACAAGAATAGTGTCTGCAAATACTAGCTGATAGAATAAAAAAGGGAGAGAACGATCCAACATGGGAAGTGAGATACACAGCAGACCCATAGAATGGCAGATGTCCTAAACAGCACTCTGGCCTCATAATCAGCCCTTAAGGCATGCGGATCTGGCTGAAAAGCCCATGAGAGTATTTCAGGCATGGAAAGCCAAGACACTCTGGGAAAAAAAAAACAAAACACCTAAATGAAAGATCTCCGTGAGTGAGATCCCAGTGGAAAGAATGGGTCATCAAAGAAGGAGGTACCTTTCTCTGAAGGGAGGAGAGAACCTCCACTTTGACCATGGCCTTGTCTAAATATGATCAGAGTCGGTGAACTCAGGGGGCTTCCATAGCCTTGGCAGCTCATGACAAGAGCCTAGGGTGATTACTGACGCCATAAACAAGAGTGTCAATTTGTTAAGTCAACAACAGGAGTCACTGTGCACTTACTCCTCATGTAGGATCTCTGTCCTTAGTGTGCTGTACATTGAGATTTAATGCTATAACTAGTACTCAAATATTATTTTTCACTTTATGTTTCTGTGTGGGAGCAAACTGTGGAAATCTTTACTTAATGTATGCTAAACTGATCTTCTGTATATAAAGAGAATCGAAAATGAATCTTGATGTGAATGGAAGGGGAGAGGGAGTGGGAAAGGGGAGGGTTGCAGGTGGGAGGGATGTTATGTGGTGGAAGCCATTGTAATCCATAAACTGTACTTTGGAAATTTATATTCATTAAATAAAAGCTAAAAAAAAAAAGAAAGTGACAGAGCATCTATGTGGAAGAGCCTGTGTTCTGACAATATATGGGTCTCCAATCCTGACTTGAAACTTAAACAGAAATAAAGTTGTATCTTGTTTAAACTACTATATTTGGAGGCATCTTTGTTGTGGCAGATTAATTTATAGCTTATACAATATGTACGTTTCATTTCAAATCTTCCAAGTGATATAGGTATGGAAGTATTAGTTTTTAGAAATTTCTTTTGTAAGGGTTTGCATATTTTTAATGCAAAATTCTATTTTACATATGCTATTTTACCTTTTATGAAACTTATTGGAAGGTTTTTAATATCATTTTCTCATTATAATTTATTTTCTACTGTTCATATCTGCTCCTTATTTCATCTCTAGCATGTTTATTTTTACCTCCTCTGTTTCCCCTGATTACCTATGCCAACGATTTATCAATCTTATGAAAATATTTTCACATTTAACTGTAGCTAAATAGAAGCAATCACCTTTTGGATTAGCTCTTTCTTCTGTTTCATGGTGACTTACATTCCTTTACTCTTCTGTCACTTCAAGACGTATTAAAATGTACATTTGTGGGGCTGTGTTATGGCACAGTGGGTTAAGGCACCTCCTGTGATGTAGGCATCCTATGTGAGTGCTGGTTCAAATCCTGGCTGCTCTACTTCTGATCGGCTCCCTGCTAATGTGCTTGAGAAAACAGCAGAAGATGGTCCAAGTGCTTGGGCCACTGCCACCCACATGGGACAGCTGAATGGAGACTGGCTTCGACGTGGCACAGGAATGAAACAGTGGATAGATCTCTCTGTAACTCTGTGTTTCAATAAATAAATCTTTAAAAAAAAGTACATTTGTGAGGCAGCTATTTGATGCAGTGGCTAAAGCACTGCTTGTGATGCCTAAATCCCATATTGGACTGGCTCTACTTCCATTTCCAGCTTTCTGCTAATGCTCACCCTGGGAGGAAGGAGTTGGGTCCCTGCCACCCAAATGGAAGAACTAGACTGAGTTTCATCTATTGTTCTCAACAGTATCTAATTACTTTAGTGATCCTTCTTCCCATATGGAAAAATGAGCAAGGGAGAGAAGAGGAAGAGTGAAAAACATTCGCTCACATTTTCCCCCTTGTGTAAAGAGGGTTAAATGTAAGAGTAGGATGTAAGATTCCTTTGTAATAGGCCATACATGGGCACATTTCTCAACATTTGGTGAGAGAATTTGAAGCTTGTTGATAACGTTACATGGGTATAGAAATCTGGGGGAGGCAGGGTTTTGTTGTTGTTGTTGTTCCAGGTTATAAATTATTTCTCAATATGTTTCAAAGGAATCAAACATTACAAAATGTGTACTTTTACCAACACAGAATTGAATGACAGCACTCTAAGAATACAATGGCTTGAAAAACCTTAAGTAGTTGGAAACTAAACACAACTCATCCAAATAACCTGAGTCCAATAAGAAATCATAGGGAAAGTTAGACAATATTTCGCTGATTGAAAATGACATATAGTGGGGCCGGTGCCATGGCTCACTTGGTTAATCCTCCACCTGTGGCGCTGGCATCCCAAATGGACACTGGGTTCTTGTCTCAGTTACTCCTCTTCCAGGCTAGCTCTCTGCTGTGGCCCCAGGAAGGCAGTGGAGGATGGCCCAAGTGCTTGGGACCCTGCACCCACATGGGAGACCAGGAAGAAGCACCTGGCTCCTGGCTTCAGATTGGTGTAGCTATGGCCGTGGCAGCCATTTGGGGAGTGAACCAGTGGAAGAAAGACCTTTCTCTCTGTCTCTCTGTCTCTCACTGTCTAACTCTGTCAAATAAAAATAAAATAAAAAAAATTACAGTAGCAAAAGCTGTGGTATGTGGTTGAAGAGGAGATAGAGGGACAATTATATCTTTAAATGCTTATATTACAATAAAATTTATTTTTATTTATTAAGACTTTATTTATTTATTTGAAAGGCAGAGGCACAGAGAGAAAGAGAGTGAACCATCTGTTTGTTCACTCCCCAAGTGACTGCAATTATAGGAAGCTGGGCTGGGCCACTGCCAGGGGCCAGGAACTTCTTCCAGGATTCCCATATGGGTGCAGGAGCCCAAGCACTTGGCCATTTTCCACTATTTTCCCAGGCATATTAGCAGGCAGCTGGATCAGAAGTGGAGCAGCCAGTATTCAAACTAGTACCCATATGGGATGCTAGTGTTGCAGATAGCACCTTAACCTGCTACACCAGCCTCAAGAATAAAAATTTAAGATCAATGACCTAAGTTGAAAATTCTGAAAAAAAAAAAAAAAAAAGAATGGGGCCATCAAAGAAGGAGGTACCTTTCTCTGAAGGGAGGAGAGAACTTCCATTTTGACTATGACCCTGTCAGAATAAGATCGAAGTCGGTGAACTCAAAAGGCTTCCATAGCCTTGGCAACTCATCGCTAGAGCCTAGGGAGATTACTGACATCATAAACAAGAGTGTCAAATTGTTAAGTCAACAACAGGAGTCACTGTGTACTTACTTCTCATGTGGGATCTGTCCTTAGTATGTTGTCCAATGTGAAGTAATGCTATAACTAGTACTGAAACAGTATTTTTCACTTTGTGTTTCTATGTGGGTGCAACTGATGAAATCTTTAGTTAATATATACTGAATCAATCTTCTGTATATAAAGATAATTGAAAATGAATCTTGATGTGAAT